CCATCAACGCATGAACCAGAGATCACAGATGTTATGCCAACTGGGATTGAACCCAGGCCTGTTGGGGTGAAGATTGTTTTAATATATAGAAGAAAATTTTCACGATTTTAAATAATTTCCAGACCATTTTACACCGAGTAGGTGCATTTGTGCCGGGTTACTTTAGCGATTGTGAGGCCATTTTCGGTGTTTTATGATTTCTGTATGGTTATGTCGGCATAAGGTCTGCATCCACATTAATCCGGACACCTTCAACTCACTGTAACTTTTGAAATTTTGCACGTAGGAGTGAAACATTTTGCTGAGGTATAGCTGGTAGTCATTGATGAAAAAGTTGTTTACATTCCAAGATGGCGACGAATGAAAAGCACGTGCGTTAGAGGACTTTGTACGGACGTAATCCAAATCCTGACTGTAAATAAAAAATTGAATTTACCTAAATCCACTGTTCACGGTTGAAGGAAAACCCGAATCTCCCTGCTCGAACAGTGGCTCGTAAAATAGGAATGTCACCTGCTTTTGTTCAAAAATCAAAACAGTGTTTGGGGCTGAAGTCGTATAAAGTAAGAAATTGGTGGGGTTGTGTACAAGACACGACTGCATGGTTGACGTAGACTACGTTGAGATGTTTTGTGAACTTCTCGGGCATTTTTCTTTATATTGATATAAAATACAGTAGAAGTAACTTATTTCCGCAATTTACTCCATTTCCTTTCGTTATTCTCACCCTTATTAATTATATTTCTGACTGTTTCTGGACTTTCCGTTAGGGATATTTTCGCATATGCACACTTCAATGCCCATCTCATCTCCGTTGAACATTTGTTGTAAATAACACGTTTAACCAAACGCTTGATCGCAGTGGGATACCTCCGGTGGGAAATCATTCACAAGTAATGTAATGCACATCCCAATCCAAGTGATATTGTAAGTTTTTTTTTAGGTTTTTAAGCACTCTACAAGTCTAAATCATAGTCTACAGTACCCTCATAAAACCCAAATTGTTACTTCTCCCAAGTTCACTAATTTGGATTGGTTTTGTTATATATAGCTAACATACGACTAATACAGGGCTTTGGCGCATTATTAGTCGGATTATTACCAAGCAGTTTTTGTTGGTTACTTGGGATTGCCCTCTCACTTTCTTTCCATCAGCATAATCGAAAATTTGATATTCAGAGTTGTGCTTTCACACAACTAGAAAGTTTGGTACTTGTTCAATATTTAATCACAATTTGTTTCTCCAAGCATTCAAAAATTCGTCCATCCAAGCAGGATCATAATTCTAAATATTCATTGGATAGCTTAACGTAGGAATGTATCCACCTCTTAAGCACATAATGAGGAACTAGAACTACAGGTATTCAGAAATATATCTCTTAACTTTTTGCCATTCTTGCATTTACACAAAGACGCTCCAACCCATTTTCAGAGGTTTAATTTTTGTTGGACCAAACTAAACACAGCACCACCCAGAAACTCGCTAATTCTCTTGGTGCATTATTTTGTAACAAGCAACAATTTAAAGCTCTACTTAAAGATGTAAATTAATTTTTACCGTCCCTCTGGATCCCACTTCAACACAGGGACGATCCAAAATCATCAAAATTCTGTTCTCCAAGCAGAATCTCACGAACACTAGCGTGTAAATTCATAGAATTTTGACAGTTCTTACAGTAATGCATGTGTTATTTGTGTACAAAATCCGAAGTTCCTCCTTTTATACATATTCGGCAAAAAAAAAAACTTTTTTCTAAGCCCCGCCCCTGACAGGATTTCCCGCCGTTTTTTTATGAATGGGGCTTGAAAAGTACCAATTAATCATTTTATCAAGCTTCTGCATTCATGTTCCATGTTGCTGTTATTTGCAGTGACATGTATCGGAAACTGCACACAATCTGTTTTCCGTTAATTGTTCACAGAGGACACTGCAGTGCAAAACATTTCTGATACCTCTATATATCCATTTAGATTAATATTCAAAATCCCTCCTTTTTTACACATTCTGCACACAAAATAGCTCCCCCCTCACAGAATTTCCCGCCAATTTTTATGAATGGGGCGGGGCTGAAAGTATCTTTTGCGGAGAATACGTAAAAAAGGAGGGACTTCAAACGTTAAAGTAAATACGTATATAGAGGAACCAGACATGTTTTGTAGTGGCAGGTAATCTATTTTGTAATCTGTGAATGGGAAATGACAAATCGAGTGTCATCAAAATACATGGCATGTTGAGAGATTGAGGTCATGAGAGCAAATTTTCTCTCTCAAATTTGAATTTGTTGGCTGGGGACTGGTAGTAACACAGGGAAAACTGTATGTGGGAAAATCGTTTTTGTTTTTAGTTGTAGCTTGTTTAACAATAATTTCCGGGAAAAAAGTGAACGACAAAGTCCCTGACTAATTTCTTTAGATTGTCGTTCACTTTTTTTGAACTGAATATGCACCGAAAGCGAATTATTCCAACTTCTCTCAATTTCTATATGGGAATTTAATCACTTCCTACCAGCGGAACAGCGCCATCTCTGTGGAAAGTGGTCGGACGAAATGATTAATTGTTCAATCTCCACAAATGCCACATCCTCTCCACCCCATCATTGGTTGTCATCAAGGTGATAACGCTGACTGCTGCTATTTGACCACACCGTTCGTCCGATGCGAAAATTATCGGATTCACAACAGCAGCGCTCTAGCGTGACCAGGCATGGAAAATCATTTGCATTCATTTACATTCATTTGTCCCTAACTTTTTTTTATCAACAGAATTCCGCAAAATTATGTATTGAGTTTTTGTAGGTTTTATTATTAACTACAACTTTTGTTAACATTTTAAATCTGGATCTCTTATGCATGACGAACCAGAGCGAACAGAAGCCACTACTGTTTTTCAGTGAATGTATTTTACATTCACTGAAAAACAGTAACAAGTTCTGTCCGCTCTAATTCGTGATGCATAAGAGATAAAGATTTGAGTTATGAGCAAAAGTTGTAGTTAATAACAAAACCTACTAAAGCTCTATACATCATTTTGCGGAATGCTGTTGATGAAACAAGTTAGAGGCAAATGAATGTAAATGAATGCATGAAATGAATGTAAATGATTTTCCATGCCTGAGCGTGACTACGGTAATGTTCAGTAGAGACAGAGGAAAAAAATCCAAATTTTCCTGATTTGCTCCTGCTTCTGCTTGCATGCCTTCCGAATCTTTAAAGAGTGGAAGAACGACAGCAGAGCTCTAATGACGACTTGGTTTGGGGAGAACGTTTATTTCTTTGAATTATCACTTTTTATATGCACATTTTTCAACGATTTTTTTATTGAAAATTGGAAAGCATTTATTTAAGCAAATTGTGAAAGTTATTTCCAATCGATTGGTGTAGTTGGATTTTAATTTCATCTATAAATGGCAAAGTTATAAGCGTTCGAAACTTTACACTTTTTCGTAACGGTCGCAATTTTAGATTTTCGATTTACCGCCAGTACCTTTCGGTAAGACGTAGTCTACGTCAAAACAGTTCCAAATCGCAGTGAAATACAGTATTTTATAACAAAAGCACGGGCTCGATGTTTGTACTGCGAATTTTTGACGAACTTTTAATGCGTTATTATTGATGATGAAACTTATATCCTGGAGGATTTCAAGCAGCTTCCAGGGCTAGATTTCTATTCTGCTATGGCCAAAAATGCTACAGAAGAGTATTTTAGGACGATGAAGGCATCGAAATTTCCCAAAAAAAAAACTTATTTGGCAAGCAATTTGCACGTGTGGCCGTCACTTCGGACACAATCAACCAGGAGATTTACCAGAAAGAGTGCCTACAGAAGCGATTGCTACCCTTCATCAAAAGTCACAAAGAAAACCCTTCGTTCTGGCCCGAATTGGCATCATGCCATTATGCTAAAACTGTGATGGAGTGGTACGAAACAAATAAAGTGAATATTGTACCAAAAACCAAAAATCCGCCAAATTGTCCAGAGTTACGTCCAATCGAGAGATATTGGGCTCTGATTAAGCGGTAGCTTTCTGCAAAGAAACAAGAGATCAAAAATATCAAACACTATAAATTTGGACAAAGACGACCACCACGGTATCTGAGGAGTCTGTACAAACCCTAATGGATGGAGTTAAGCGCAAAGTTCGAACGTTTTATGCAAATTCCGAATAACTATGTTTTGACTTCGTGAATTTTTAAATCATAGGTACATTTGTGTTTTACTTAAGTTTTGATATGTTCAGACTTTATTCAAGATTATTTTAAGAGGTTACAGGACATTTTTGAAAGTAATTTCAGCGTTTTGTGAACATTTTTGTTATTTTAAGCAATTTTTTGTTACTTTTTTAAGACTTAGTTAGCCTGGAGTCATGATTTTTTAAGATTATTTCATCATTTTGATGCCATTTTCTACTTACTTTCTATAATAGTTTGTGCTTTTCTTTCTTCTTTTGCGTTACGTTTTCAGTATTTACAGATCATATACGCATAATATTGGATAGATTTGGCTTTTTTTTTTTGTATATTTAGGCTTTTTGAAGCCGTTTTAATATTCATCAGTTATTTGGTGATTTGAAGATATTAATTTTTTGTTTTTAAGGCCATTATGGTTATACAATATCTGTATTCAATATTGGTGGGTCGCGTATTTATGGAATTTCCCAAAGTGGGTCGCAATCGAAAACAATTTGAGAACCACTGGATTAAAGGATACTCCACATGTTATCAATAATGTATGATATTAAATCATATAGTAAATAATAAATAACATATAACTTTTTTAACAATCTCGTTTAAATTTGAACAACCCTATCCACCCACCGGACTCCTAAATTATGGACTAACAGCACCTGCTCTAATCGTAAATGCAGTCCAGGAGTAGTGCCTGGCTTTTCATTAACCTTCTTTTCTAACGTTTCATTAAATCTCACACCCGTTGGAAATAATTCTGCTCACCTTCCTGCCAACCAACCAACCCCTATCCCCGGCCGTTCTTCCATTCACAGACGCCCTGCATTGCGCTGCACCTGGTGTTGCACTACTTTCTCCTGACCAACTACGCGTGGATGCTGTGCGAAGGATTCTATCTGCACACGGTCCTGGTGTCAGCCTTTATCTCGGAGAAAAAGCTCGTCAACTGGCTGGTGGTGCTCGGTTGGACCGCACCGGGTCTCGTGATCATGGTCTATGGATTTTTGCGAGCTTACGCCAGCTCTCCGATGGATACGATAGAGTACGTATGAAACGTGTGTGTTTGGGAATGTATTTTTTATCGTTCGCGTTCATTGCTAGAGCGATGTATTGCATGAAGGTTAGATTTTCTTTTTTGGACTCTCGTATACGTCCGTCAATTGAAGTAGATTTATAGGTGGCTTGCAACTCGATTGATGGAAGCCAATTAGTGAAACTTTTGTGTTTTCTCCCGCAATTGATGAAGAGCATCAGGTGGAGTGTAATTTCAACTCAAATCGTACTCGCAGCTTTGAGTGTTTGAACCCGTCTCAAACAAGCTTTCGATCAATTTCAGATGCTGGATGAACGAGACTTCCTACGGGACCGTCCTGATTGCTCCGGTGTGCATCTCGATGCTGCTCAACTTGCTATTTATGTGCAACATTATACGGGTAGTGCTGCTAAAGCTGAAAGCTCCGGCTGGCCCACAAGGAACCGGTCCATCCCGAACGATACTGCAGGCGTTCAGGTAAGACGAGAGTACCGCCCAATTAAGCACAAGTGAATGCTATTAAAAAGCAATTAACTATTGATTTGAATTTATTGCGGTTATTTCAGAGCTACTCTACTGCTTGTTCCCCTGCTTGGCCTACAGTACATGCTAACGCCGTTCCGGCCTGATCCAGGCCATCCTTATGAGCGAACGTACGAAACGATATCGGCGTTCACGGCATCATTCCAAGTGAGCACACAATGAACTAATCGAATCAAATCTCAATTGTCAATTTTCTTCCTGTAGGGCATATTTGTAGCCGTCCTATTTTGCTTCTTCAACGGAGAGGTAATCGCACAAGTAAAACGAAAGTGGCGCACCGTGTTCTTACGGACTCGAACCAACTCCTACACCGCAACGCAAGTGTCCGTAAGTAAATCTCTTCTCAAAGACGCCCGACGGCAGTGAGTTCCAGTCCTCCCACTCCCAAGGGCCACCAGAACTGACCCATTCCACAAAAATGCACAGCAAGTCTGTAGAACTATGCGACGTTCTTACATTAATAAATTGCTCTGAAAACAACATCAACAAAAGTAGTGTATTAGTAGTGATAGCAATAGTGAGGCTAACTCGCCGTCTTCAGGCGTTCTTTGTACAAAAGGGAAATAATTATCCGTTCCCCTGCTTAGTTCCTCCCAATTTTTAAATCAACACTTCCAAACCTCAAAAGACCCGACAATTAAACTGACCATTGTTTGATCCTCTGCTGTCTATGTTCTGTTTATCGGTGTTTGATCGCACAACCCTACCCAATCGCCAACAAACCGCTCCTACCTACCAACTGTTGTTAAACACCTGAAGCGAAAGGCTAGGCACCCCTCTGTAATGACTGTTACTAGTACCTACTGCTAACTCTATTTACACCAGCAAGCAAAACTGATCTATGTGAAAGATTTTATTTAGACAACTACGTACGTCCTTATGCTCTGTTATGATGTGAGATGTGAGTTTATTTATGAAGATTGTTTGTAGTGAGAAAATAAACGGTTAATGAAAGAGATCTGAATAAACTGTCTTTCGAATCCCAGTAAAAGTCGTAGAGTAGTTTTAGTTTGTTGCTTGTGTCCGTACTCCACTTAGATCATAGATTTGTGTCCCTGTCGACTTTACTGCTCGGTATTCCCCAATCCCAACGCCCTTGTTTTAGTTTTTGTATTGGTGGTATAACTGTGTGCCAAACAAATATGGCGGAACATTTCCGATGCCATATGTACAATATCCCTTAATTGATTAATTTGGTTTCCTCCAGTCTCTAACTGTATGCACTCGTCCTAGACTGAATGTTCTCTGTTCTAATGTAGTGCTGTGTGACAACGTCTCTTATTAATCGAGCCTCTTCCCCTTCCTGTGCAACTCCAAACAAACAAACTCAACTTGCTTCTTTGGCTTTCGGAACGGGTGCGTCTCAAAATAAAACCGAATTCTACCTACCCACCAACTTGTGTCAAAATTCAAAACCATAATACAAGCCGGTCCGCTTGCAGTTCATCCGTAGCGGTCCACCCGTTCCCGGTGAAGACAAGGTCTGACTAAAGGAGTACGGCAGTGGCAATAAGCCTTACCAGTCATCGAGCTTGTCCCCAACAAACGATCGGAGCCCCTCAGCCAACGCTACAACAATGACAATTTTGGACGGGGCCTTTAACGGGATGGATGAGTCGAGTAATGTGGCAACCAGCAAGGTGATCGGTGAAGAATTTATTCCGGTCGGTGATGATTCAAAACAGGTGAAGATCAATGGATCTAGCCCACACGTAGACGGAGGGCTCAGTTCCTGGCGGAGAAGTTCGATCGAGTGTAGACACGTGAAGCTACCACCGCTTCCAGAAACGCAACATGGGGATAACAGTGGGAATAATGAGGGTGATAGTGAACAGGCGGAGCTGTTCGTAGACCCAGCTCCGGCTGACGAAATTCTATAAACATGATGGAACACAAAAGTATCGAATTACTGGATAGGCGAATTTAATAGTAACATTTAGAATCAATTTCTAATTAGGATGAACCCTTATTTGTACAATGATGTAGTCGTTCAAACTGAAGATAGATGTGGTTCGCAGAAATCACCTAAATAGAGATAATTTCTGCTTCAATGTTGAACAAAACGCTTAAATTTTCGTAGGATTAACACGTACGCAAACACGCTCTACCTGTTGTAGGGATAATGTGATCATGTTGGAAAATAAAGCTAACAGTGATTTTGATGGCACAGGTTTACTCTGCTGAATTTGAAAGAAAGTCATATATACAATTAAAACTACCTACGTAACAACAACATCTCTAATGCATACATATATCACAAAGCCATTCTCAATCCGCATCGAAAATATTTCAAATCAAGTCACATCGTTTCGATGGGCGAAATAAATCCACAAAAGAAACCAATTTATGGTGGTGAACAACATTCATTGATTGCTAAAACAAGCTTATCATAAGCTCCGGATTATTGCTTTCAATGGAAATACCATGGATGAAAACAAAATCCACTTCATACCAAAACAGGTAAGCAGCACGCAAAATCGACTACATAGACATATTCAACCATGATGGTCATTCAGAATGGCACACAAATCCCCTGTAAAACTGAAACGGATCATCTGTGCGCACCAGAACATAAACACATCGACGGGTTGCAATTGAAACCTGCAGTTCATGCCCCTGTGCCGAGTGCCAATGTAAAATGAAGGGCGTTAAGTTGAGCTATGAGAATGCTGTGTGTTATTGATAAATAGCTTTTGAAAAAGGAACAATAGGCACCAGCTTTTTATATGGATGAGAGCATAACGGAAATGCTGGCTGCTGACAGTAGGATGGGATCATTGGAAAATGTGTGGAAGATGTTTCTTGTAACCTCCATCAGTAAGTGGATGATTATGAATTTGTTTTGAAGTGCACACTTAAAAGGAAAGCGAAGCTTGTAAATGAAAAATAGTGTATTTGTTAGAGGAATTATATTTTGTATCGTTTCTGGAGTTGTGGATTTTATTGATTTTATTCTTATTTCCATGTGGGTTTGCTTGGAAGCCAATCTTAATATAATTAATGTAGTTACTTTGACATTTTTCAAGTCAAGATAAGATTAATTTGTTGATTGATGATATTGAACAAATTCGCGAAACATAAATGGTAGCAAAATCAAATGTGAGTGCAGGGAAAAGTGCGGTACAACAGTCGCATAGTAACATATAACCAAATCAACTATGCACTATTTCAACAATAAATTAAGTCAATGGTAACATTTAGAGAATTTTACATCATTCTTTTAATTATCCTAATTTCTTTTATCCAGTGCTGGCTTGGAAAATTTAAAAACTGATTACTCGTTAAATTTTCACATGTGCACCCCCGATCACATTCACAATGTGCGAATTTAAAAATACATGCAAGCATAATACCTCTTGGAACTTCCCCGAACTTCACGTTGTAACCCGACAGCCTTACGAGTTTCCTTTTTTTAGTAAAAATGTCTTAAGCGCCACTCCCGAGAGATACCATCTACCGAGACTAGAGTTGCCCGACCGTATGAGACCTTTCAGGGAAGGTTCTATTGTTTTTTTTTTTCAAAGTGAATGGGCGGGAAGCAAGTTGGCTGCCGATGGATCACGGTAAGGACGGGAATGGTCGTGGAATTAAGCATGAGCATGATCATGAGCATGATTGACCGCCCACGGTTGCTACTCTGTTATTGCCAGACCAGCTGTAATTGCACAGAGAACCAATAGACGATGCTTGGGACTAGCAATCATCCTCAATGTGTAAAAACTGGTGATCTTAAACTAGGCAATATCAGCGCCAGCCGCGCCCGAACACAGGTTAAGAAAGGAAGGGATAGGAATGTGTTCACGTGACACTCGCTTTGATGGAAGCCGAGAACACCTCTGCACTTCCACGAGGAATCACTGGGATATTGGGTAATAGTGTTGGGTTTGCAGCAGGGTTCGTTTTGGTAAACGGTAAGCTGAACTGATGTCCTAACAATCATATAAGGCAAAGGAGCTTGGGATTGAACCCACGGTCTTCTGCTCAGTAAGCAAAAACGTTTTCCACTAGGCATACGAGCTTCTTTTTAATCATCGAGTTGCTGTTGTAGTCATGTTAACAAATAAAACGATTGACGAATCTTGAATGTGGAGGGGCTTGAGATCTGCTCAGTAAGCAAAACCGGTTGCTCTAAGGCCACCGAGCCCCTGATATCACATTATAGTGTTACTCAAGTTTTTATAACTATTCAAACCCGGCACCGACGACAACGAAAAGTTTTGCAAAATACACGATAAACAAGCGATCTTACCATACATTTTTAATATGAAAGGACCTGGGACCGCGTTTTTTTTGCGCAGTAAGCAAGCCACTGCAACCGACGATCTTTGAAATACTAAAACTTAAAGCTACGAAAGAGTACTTAAGCCTTCATTAAGATCCACTTTCACGCGACGTTCAATGTTTCGATTTTCTCTTTACGCATGGTTCAGGCAATCATAACAAGCATGGTTCAGGCAATCATAATTCGCCTTTCTAGATCCTTTCCGAAAAGAATGTACAAAAACTTTTTATCTGTAGTGTGTTGGTTTATTGTAGGGAGCGGGAAAACCTTTTGCTGCCCTCTTCCGGCCTCGGGTACCACCAGCTGGAAAATGGGGTCGAAAACGGTCGCTGACTGATGTGGGTGGTGTGACGAGCTTCGCAACGTGCCACAAATCTGCCAAAGAGAAATGCCGTCGCGTGGCATTCAACATCTGTACACTGAACACACTTATGCACAAAAATTATCTCGATTTCAAAACACCTTTGCACACTCCTAACCGCCGAACTAACGCACTAAGCACTTTCTGCTTTAATTTCGAAGCTTACGAACTAATCGAGGGAATTCATAAAGAATATCTAAATTAGCAAAGTTAAAGAAATTTTCACGTTTATTTTTATTATCTTTAATTTCACACCACGGCGCGATAACTAAACTTGGACCGCTCTCACCTCTTCCACAGACCAGAACGAAAACAAAAAAGAGTCAAGTCTGAAGATCCTCAGATTAAGTGCAAGAATTGCAATCATCGTCGCCGGAAATTACGTGAAATCGACGAAGTTGATTTTCACTAAGTTCTAAAAATCGCCTTCACGCATATAAGTTTTAACAGAAATACGAAGGAAAGCATTCTCCTTCTATCAAGTTAACGCATATGCCAATTCGCTTCCCACCCGAAGTGCATGAAATGATGGGACGGGTCAACAAATCCTGAAAGCAGAATTGTGCAGGTCGATGTCCTTGCGTTTACGCTTGGTTTGCTTAGACTCTTCGTATTGCGATCGAATTACGCTTTAGCGCCCGAAATGGTACATAGAACTCATTTACCATCTAATGAACATTTCGGTGAGTGAACTGTTTGAGAACGCTTCATGCGTCAAATCTAAACAAAGGGTAATTCTATGGAGTTTGGAAAATTTCAATTCATGTACAACTTTTTAAATTTGATTTTTATAATACATGGCACCTGCCACAACGTATCCTCTGTCAAATTATCTGGACTTTCCAGCAGGGAAAGGGAACAGTACAAAGCACAGACTAAATAAACACATAAATTTGTTGGTTTGCACGTCAAAAATAAAGAGAAGTGCAATGAATTTATGCTATCAGCCTGTGGTAAATAAAAAATTTAAGCCCAAGCATTGTTTTATAATTTTCAAAATTTTGATAAATTCGAGTTAAGTATGATATTGTTCCATGCTGCGGAACTAACATCCAATTTTTTTTTCTGTTTTAGGGCTTAGATCTAATTTTGGGCGTACTAAGCACAAACCGCCTGTTGCCACTATCTTTTGAGTGGATTGTTTTCACAAAATGGAATGTTTTCACTGCAGATGACTTCTAAATTGATTTACCTTTCCGTACGTTGGGGAAAAATCTATTTCGACCTAATCGCTCATTCCCGGCTTTTATCGAGTACAAAACATCAAATATATCTATGATTTCAGCGTGAACGTGTCAAACAAACAATAGGCCAAAGAGAATCCCAATGGCGTTTCAATGGCTAATAGGCCCAAGAAAACCCGTAGGCCAAGTTGTGACCCCAGTTTTGCATTTTTAACAATAAACGAATATTTCACGACTCCTCATCAGAACTAAGGGTGCATATGGAAAGGTAAATAAATTTAAAAGCCATTTCAAATAATAACATTCCGTTTGGTGCTAAACTTCGCTAGATAAAGAAATACTAAGTGCGGGTTGTGCTTAATAGGCTGGGAATTGGGTAGTTTACCCTACCGTATGATTTGATAAAGAGAATCACATTGTTGAGATATTATTAAAAATCTAACACTGCTTCTGGACTCCAAACTTGGCCTACGGATTCTAAATTCGGCCCAACGCATTGAAACGCCATTCAAACGCCATTGAATTCACTTCGCTCTATCGGATGAAGACAAGCATTGATTCGGTCGGAGCGCTTCCTTTGATTTTGAGAATAATGGGTTCAAACAATCTTATCACCGTTCTTATTGACTTCGTTCGGTGGCTTTTGAACTATAGTATCGTACCAAACGCATAATTGTCTTGTTAAATCTGAAATCATGGATTTATTTGATGTTTTCTGCTTGATAGGCCCAACATGGGCGATTAGGCCGAAGTAGTTCCCTACCCTACATAGAATTTGAAACTGTTGGAAAGTAATGAGTTTTTCTTGTGCTTAGCGGCTCCGGTGGTGTAGGGGTAAGCGTGATTATCTCTTACCCCAGCAGGCCTGGGTTCAATCGCAGTCGGCGCCGCCGGGATGTTCTGAGGCATAACATTTCTGATCACGCTTCCCTTCGGAAGGGAAGTAAAGCCGTTGGTCCCCGGTTCATGAGTTGATGGGTCGATAGGTAGGGTGCAGGTGTGGGAGCTGCCTCCCTGCCGTCGGTAGCATTGGTGCTCAGCACGGAAAACAAGATCGACGGAAAACAAATCAAGTGCCTATTTTGATCTCTCTTTGTGCTTTTGTTGTACGCTCCTACCCACATTACAGTTCTCTCAAATGATTTTGTGCTCTCTCTGGTCTCAGAGCCTCAACCAGTGGTGGCACGAGTCCTGGAGTTTAACATTTTTTCCTTAACATTTGATACTTTTTGCGATAACCATTGTGACGACACACAAAAACAAACTGGCAAGCCGCAAAAATGTCATGACATTTCAAACTGTTTTCTGCCAGCGACAGAACATTTTTGCACAAAGAAG